CAAATGCGTCAGCCTGGTAGGCGCCACCGATATGATTTACCCTACTTCTGCTGCAAAACGTAATGCGGTCCCCATAATATTATGTCGTATATTTGGTAACATTAGAACAATATAAGAGACGAGGAAAGAGCTGAATTATGTAAATAAAGTAATGATTATATACTTTACTAATAATATAATTATGTGAAAGTTTGTAAAGATATTTATTTATTCAAACTTCAATCTACAATTCAATTATATAGTCGATTGCTTGGGTACCTCTGTCCCATTCGTGTTTCAACCGTGAAGCAGTTGTGTTTGCATGGTTGTGTTTCGGTTTGAAGGGTATTATTTTACTGGTTACAGAGGAATAACACCTGAGTCCTCAGGAATGGCAACGCATGGGGTGTATCATGGGCGAAACAGTATACTCTGTTATGTCCATGGTACTGCTCATGTTTATAGGCGACGGTTACCACTTTCCATGAGGTGGGCCGTTAGCTTGTTTGCCATTCTAAGTTGTATAAAAAAAAATAGTATAAGTGTGTGTACATATGGCAAAAAAAAACTACTAAAATAAGTGCAAATAATGTTACTAATACATTTACATCCAATCTATAGTAATACTTATCTACACAAACACATATAAGTATGTAATATACAACTATAATTCCAATGAATTTAAATCAGAACAACAGATAAAAGAATTGAGACAGAAAAATACATACGACTGAAGCAAAAATACAATTAAAAAGCAAAAGAAAAGAGAGAAGAAAGTAAGGGATTCATGTCGAGCCATTAGCGCCAAGAAGAAGTAAACAAACAAACTGATATTCACATTTATACTGTTAGTAAAGAGTGAAGATTTATATGGGCTTTCCCAATTATAATGGTTGTTGGTTCGAAGGCCAACAATACAAAATATTATATTATCTAACTAGAGCACATTTTGAACAAATTATCGACAAGAACGATCGTACAATACACACTGTGAAATCGAATGTTTTTTTTATTTCATCAATTGGTTTCTATAACATATATAAAAAATAGGAATTAAGAAATTTTTCCCTTTTTGTAGACGGTTGAAAATTTAAAAAAAAGAAGAAGCCAAATGTACTGTGTATTAAGGCGGCCCGGTCTGATGTATCTAGGTGAAATAAAGTAATATCCATTTGGGTAAGTAACCGACACTCCGCTACCAAATTGGGGTCGGGACCCGTCGGGAATGTACACCGAGCCGGCCATTACTGCCGGCAATTAACAAAATCAATGATATTATTCCTTTTCCAATTAATGTCTTTTGGGACCGATATATAAAGAATTAGTGATAGCAGTAACTGATAATATTAGTACATTTTGTTCCCCAAAAATTACAGACTTCAGTCGTAATAAAATTAATTTCAAATATTAAAATTTTGTAAATTGGTTATTCTTATTTTAAAACGAATAAAACGCACTATTCTTGTTTTAAAACGCATAAAACTTACTATTCTTATTTTAAAACGAATAAAACGCACTATTCTTATATTAAAACGCATAAAACGTACTATTCTTATTTTAAAATGCATAAAAGGTACTGTTCTTATTTTAAAACGCATAAAACATACTATTCTTATTTTAAAACGAATAAAACGCACTATTCTTGTTTTAAAACGCATAAAATTCACCGATAAATTAGGGGATGTTTCCTAGGTATATTGGATTTAATGTAAAATTTAAATTTAAAGCACTGAATTGTGTGTGTATAAATGGATTTTGCTCAAGATCAAGCAGGACAATACTCCAGTAAAGAAAAACTACAATATTTCTTTGCAATCACAAAATCAATTTTTGGGATTAATATTACTACCACCAAGCCTTTTTTGTAATGGAATCTTGTGTAGAATTTATCCCCATATAAAATTTCATAGATGGCAAATGGAATTATTAAAATTTCTAGAGGTTATTCTATCTATGTTCACGCCAAATCCCCCACGAGGTAAGCATAGATGGAGTTTCGTATGAGTCATATTATTTTATAACGCAGTGCAAAAACCCTCTTTACTTAAATAGGTACATCATTTTTCATGTTCTCGAGTCAGACAGACAGCACCTGATCTATCTGAATATTATATGTACAGTAGTTGTGCCATAAATCTAGAATCTAGACACACACTGACCTGTATTGCAACCTCACCGTGAATTAACTAAACGGGGCAGATAACCCCACCCGCCGCTAAATAGATCACCGGTGCCGTGCGTCTAGGGTTGACACCCGTCCGGATTTATCTGAACATATCCGGACATTTTTTTATACAACTTAAAATGGCAAACAAGCTGACGGCCCACCTGATGGAAAGTACCTGATGGAAAGTGATAACCATCGCCTATAGACATGAGCAGTACCATGGACATAAGAGAGTATACTGTTTCGCCCATGATACCCCCCCATGCGTTGCGACTCCTGAGGACTCAGGTGTTATTCCTCTGTACCCTGTAAATTCACGTCGAAATCGAAATCACGGCCATGCAAACACAACTGATTTACGGTTGAAACACGAATGGGACAGAGGTGCCCAAGCAAACGACTTTTGTACAGTCTCCCTCTGGTGACTGGGACATTCGAACTTTTGTTCGGGATTTGTCCATAACCCTGCATTCGTAATATTACTCGTGTCAAGCGCAATGACGTCTGAAAAAGTGTTTAAAAATGTATCTATTTCGTGTTGTAATCGGGAACACACTTAGCTCGAATAGCAGAGAGATATGGGTATGAATCCCATCGAACCATTTACATAATAATTTTGTCCATTGTTCAGATTAGTGTTAAGATGGAATTTTGATGAATATTTAATTTTCACGTCAAATGAATAAACTAAATATTGTTACGACTATAATACCGAACGAGGTAGTCAGATGGCATCTGTCTAATGTTGCTGTTGAGTTTTCACGTTAAGATACTTATTAACTACCGTCGTTCGTTTTAAAATGTTTTCTGTAAAAATTAATTTCGTGATTAAAACATTTTTTATACAACTTGATATGGCAAACAAGCTGACAGTTCTACTTGATAAAAAATGGTAACTGGCCCCCTATAGACTTGAACAGCACCATATAGCACCACATATTCTGAACAAATACTCGATAATTTGAGAATATTCTAAAAAATTAAAAATGAAAATTTTATAAAATGATATTTTTTGTGATTAAGAAAGTTCGAAGCGAACTTGATCAATAAATGTTAAATATAAGGATAAAATGACTAGGAGACGGTTATTTGTCATCTATAAGTACATACAAAAAAGAACTGATATTTTCTATTATTTGTTTAATTATTGTACCCTTGTAGTAAATCAAACTTGAAAGTGACAACCCTAGGCGCGGCTCACGATCATCTATACCGTTTTCCGCCTCACGTGCGATTAAACCACAGATTAAATAATAGTTACCACGACAAATAGAAAACGAATAACATTGTTTCGATACTGGTTCTTACGAATCGTTCATCGATAAAGTCAAACAATTATTGTACTGCTGTGAAATGTTTGTGCTCTGCTACAGGTAGGTATCGGGGGGTATCAAATTTTTTTTTAAGCTTAGAACGGCAATCATATTGATGTCTCACCTAATGGAATGATTAACCTATAATGATGAAATATGTCATGTCTTTCTACTTAATTGTTCCCGTGGGTGTCGTAAGAGGCAACTAAGGGAACTTATTTTTTATTTCATTTATTTATTTATTTTAGACAACTCGGATCCATTTTTGTTAGTAAGTGTACTTAAAAACTATGTTAATACTTAATCACTAATAATGACCTAGTCTACCTGCGGTTGTCAACCCGCCTGCTAAGCATGACAACTACTGACAAACCACCCCTCTCCCCCCCCCCCCCTCCTTATTATGCAGGTGATATAAATTAATGAATTTAAGATTAGCTGATCCATCAGACGTCATTCTGTCAAAAGCAGTTGATCGGTGGCAGTGTAATTGCTACATCCATTTCATGCAAAATGAATTTTACGCATATACTAAGTATGCAATTTGAAAATGGTCACTTTAATGAAACGTTAACGGATGGTCGATGCGGTTTGTGCGGTGGTCAACCGCTTCGCTGGTTAAGCGCGATCGGCTTATTTTTTTTTATACAACTTAGAATGGCAAACAAGCCGACGGCCCACCTGATGGAAAGTGGTAACCGTCGCCTATAGACACGAGCAGTACCATGGACTTTTAATGTATTAGTTATTGGACCAGTATAACAACTAAAGTATATAATAAATATTGGTAGCGTTGTCTATATAATATATATATATATATATATATATTATTCACTCCTAAACCTAACTTCTATCCTCACCGCTCTATACTTGATATCAACAGAGAAAGCAAGTTTACAATTCAATTAATAAGTTTAAAAAAAATACTGTATACACTTTGCAAAATCTTTAAATATCTTTGAAAACATGAAATTGTTTTGTAATGCAACAAACAAACTCACTTTCATCTTTTTAATATTAGAAAGAATTAAGTAAAACAATTTTTATAAATATTAATATTTGATGTTAATTTGTTAGACCAAGGGTCACATGCATCTTTTATATCAGAAGCAGCTGTACAGCTCCTTCAATTAAAAAAGGTACCTAGTAAATTTCGGGAGTAGGTGGATGAGGTTATGATGAGGTTTGTTTGAATCGAAGCATTTGGCGTTCCATTGTTTCTGCCTATCCTAATGGGAGACAGGCGTGACAGATATGTATGTATGTATGTAATATTTGATATGTTAATTAGGTTACTTAATTTCATTATGACTTATATTAGCTTTATGACTATATTAGCTTTATTTTCAAATGCAAATTTAAATCATCTTTATTTACAATAGACTTGTTTACAAGCTTTTTTTTTATCGTCATTTTTCCAAAAGTTGTTTCTTTTTTCTATTTCCTTCACTTGTATGATTTTGTCCCCTGATGTTAAACTTGATTGTGTTGTTAAAGCTGTGTTTACCTAAAATAAATAAATAAATTCTCTCTTGTTTCAGCCTGAAAGATTGAACGTGTTCAAAAATGACCAAGACAGCTGGGACTACACGTGTAAGTAGCTTCAGTACATTTGTATTTGTCATGTGTGGTACTGTGGCGCAGAAATAATTGTATTGTGACATACATCATGCACTAGCAACATTTGTTAATAAATATTTATCTATTTCAATTAAAACGAGGCTCGCTAGTAATCGACTCTGACTACCCCGTCTGAGAATTCAATCGTGAACATATTGTGTTTTTCTATACAGAAATATCTAAATAAAAAAACTAATATAGTAAAGGTTGTGAACGAATTTGACATCGACGAACCGTGACTTAATACGAATTGTGAATTATAACAAATTGTTATTAATTTTATAAAGACCCGTAAATTTGTATGACCTTATTTATATACATTTTTTATTTATACAATTTACAATGGCCTATCTGATGGAAAGTAGTAACTGTCGCCTATACACGACATGAGCAGTACCATGTACAACAGAGTACACTGTTTCGTCCATGATACCCCCATGCGTTGCCATTTCTAAGGACTCAGGTGTTACGCCTCTGTACCCTGTAAATTCACTGCTATATCCTATCGTTCAAGCTGAGTTGAGAGATTCTAAGTTGCATAAAAAAACGTAAGCTTTTAAATAAAAAAATAAATATCTCTTAAATTTTTTTAACAATCGATATATGGGCTTGATCATCGATATCCCATTTGACGAATCATTTTAAATCATAATTCGGTTCTTATATATTAAACGTTATATCAGCCGTCAGTCGTCCACTGCTGAATATATCCTCCCTCATAAGGAGGGCTTTGCCAATAGTTGCCAAACTTGACAAGCGGGTTGGTAACCGCAATTTGGCTTTCGGTGATGTTTTAGAGGGTTGCTACTGCCCATTTCTTGACATTTTTTAATCGCCTCTTACGACACCTACGGGAAAGGAAGGGGTGGCCTATTCTATGCCGGGAACCACATGGCTATGAACGTCTACTTGTCAATTATTAACGAATGACCAATGACGAATATGGAATATTGAACTCTTATTGTAAATTACTGTTTAATTAGGTACAATTTAAAATGCCAGTTGCTAATACATTTATTTCTGCGTCGCAATGTACATGTCGATTCTGAAACTGTAGACAATGTAACATTCTTTGATGTAATACATGGACAAGTGTAAAATGTATGTATGTTATGTGGATTTGACATAAGTTTCCGTATATTATGTTTCACTAATAATAATAATAGTATTAAAAATAATAATTAAATTTGACAATAATTATTACGAGTTTTAATAATAAAATATTAAGAATGTTACTTCGTCTGTACGTTTCAGCTCGTTCGTACTACGAAACTGTGTTCGAACAAAATTGTTTTCAATTTACCTATTTGAATTTGTTTTACGTATGTCTTTCAATGCATGCCTATTTATTATTCTTTAATGTTTCATTTGATATTTACAAATTAATAACACGACAGTATACAGCGGCCATGATCATACATTGTCTGGTACATACTTAATGACTGAAGATATAAACACATTGGCTTTGCAAACGCAAAGAACTGTCCATACTTTACAGTCATTTTTAGGCAATTCTCTCTCGATCTCGTAGTCTTATCTATTTATCTAGTCTTTTTCAATCAATCTCACAAAATGTATACCTCCTTTTTTTTGTTTTTTTTTTTTATTACGTTACCTCCTTTTTTATATTACGTTATAAAGTACGAGAAAAATAGATAGATAGACACTCTTTATTGTTTCCACCAAAAGATTACAATAGTAACTTATTATAAATATAAACAATTACAAGAAATAATCACAGTGAGAAAACAATAGGCGACCTTATCTATCGCTAAGAGCGATCTCTTCCAGGCGACCTTTGGATGGAGAGGTGTAATTACAAACAGTTTGATCGTTTGATAATTACTTTATCAAGTAAATTTATTTGTAAATATTATTGGATAGTAATGACTATCCAATAATATTTACAAATAAATTTATAAAGAAATGTCTTTATGAATATGAGCCCACGCCATTTATATCCAACGGCTCCCTATCATAAATTTTAAGTACTTGATTTATGGGATCGCTACTTGAAAATTCTTATGTTAACTTATACTTAAGGCTTATGACAACTTAACAAGTAATCAAGTAAGCTCTGTGCTATTTGAAAATATTACAGTAGTAAGTGTTACATATCGTCTTGTCACTAGAACAAAAGATGTTTGGTAAAATTTCAGATGTTTTTTTATTTAGATTTTTTTATTTAGAGCATCTAAAGAACTATTAATTAAAATATTATAATAGTTTTATTGTGGTTTAAATAACGGGGTCGCAAGACTTTTTAATTAACTATTTGGCTTTTTCGTGGGTCGCGACATTAAAATGGATGAGATACAATGACGTAGAGTAACTAAGAATATTGCAAGTTAGATAAAAATCACAGTGGTCCAACGCTTTAAAATAAATATTTTTAAATTTTTCTTAAAAAAAATATTAATACTCGTGCACTAAAGTCCTCTAAAGATATATCAAAATGGCAGACAAGAGGGTATTGTACGGTTTAAAGCGCCGCCTGTCACCATAACAATATTCAGTTAACGCCGCTACAAGGAACCCGAGGGAATTCGTTTTAAAACTTGTCTTTTGTAAGTTTACAGAAGCTGTATCGACTTTTATAAACTTTCTACATGAATCGCTTTGACAGTAAAAGAAAAATATCTTATACTGTTGATGTGAGCGTCCGAAACCCAAATTGACCTCTAGTGTTTTGATGATCTACGTACTGATAGTGTACCTGAAAGAAATTGGTAACACTCTCCTATAGACATGTACAATACTATGGAAATTACAGAATATTTTGTGACGCCTATGATACCTCTTGTGTGTATTATTGGTGAATAAAATCCATACCCTGTAATTTTGCTACCATATAACCTTTAAGCCGTAACACAACCATGCAAGCGCAGCTACTTCACGGCAGTTATAGATACAGGAGGTACGCAAAATGACGTCTTTGATACAAAGTCTTTATAGTTAATAGCAATTTAATGTCAATTGAAGTGATTTTCTTGTTTTGACAATCTGTATTGTTATCTCGAGTTTTAGTAGAGGCAACTACATTATTCTCTGGTCTCTTATTATCTCCAAAAGCATAATTAATACGCTAAATATAGCTTTTAAAATAGATGTCGCTTTTAAAGTAACTTCCGTTCGGTGGCGGACGTTTTCGCCGGTGCGGAAATTGCAACTTTAGTTTGTGGAAATCGAGTTTTGGAATTGATGGCTTTATCATCTCAGTAATAAGATGTTGAAGAAAGGTAAAAGATTGAATCATTTATATTGACGTCCTTCCACGAGATATTAAACCGAGGATATTTTACACCGAAAAGTGACTTCAAACACACATACCGATGATGGTATTTCACAAATACATTAAAATTAATTGAATTTACATCCTGGAATCGTATATATAAAAGATTTTGCAGCGCAAATAAATTAGACGCTTCGATCGTTATAATATTAATTTAGGACCAACGTGGTACTGAACCACTTTCTTTGCGATTTTCTTTACAATTGGCTACGTAATCGCGTAACATAATCACAAAAAAAAAATAAGATTTAAAATTGATCTTCTGCTATGAACATTAAAATGTTTGTTTTACAGGAGTTGTCATAAAAATAACAAAATACTGGCCTCACGTACCGCGATGTTAAATTGCAATTAATTTTCTCAAAATGCTTTTTACTAATGAAATTAAAAAGAATCGCGAAAACGAAATTACACGCGAAAAAGTTACAATTGAGCTCTCAGTTCTAAAAAGAAATGTAATTATAACAATTCCTATTGTCCCTTTAACGATAATAATATTTTCCCATTGTGTTCCGTCAATCACGAAGTTAAAGTAAAAAGTCGCTAAGCCCTATTGTGGCACCCATTAAATTCTTCAGCCGCGGACTGTGACAGAAATGGAAAAAGTTCCAGTTAAGTGCCAAATGTTGATGCGCTCTGCATAAATTTGCACTTTTTCAGAATTGGACGCAGCAATAATTCAGATATAGTTGTCCAGTATGAATAGAGCTCTGTCTCCCCCTCAACTACTACTATATCCATTGTTTTACGTAATGCAGTAAAGCACTGTTGATCTTCAATTTTCAAGAAAAGCTACGAGTGATATGTTTAGTGTTACAAACGTTTATGCGATAATCGCTTAGCTTCAGGTGCAGCTTATCTTTAATTTACATTCCCGTTGCTAATGCGAAATTTTTCAATAAGAACAAATTGGAAGTAGCTCTCATTAGAAACATAATTACATTTCTATTTTTCCAAAAGGTTGACTGGAAGAAAACGCTATACACCATTCATTCCCCATTTGTACTAAAAATTATAAAAAATTGTAATGTAATGATTAAAGAATAAGTATACTTATTTATTCTATATAATAAAGTATAGAGATCTGGGTTTTGTCTTTGTAAATCAAGCAACTGTAAACCATTCTAGTCTATATTATACAGTATATATTATATATCTGAATCTTGCAAATCAAGATTTTCGATCAACTTTAAAAAGAAGATTTTTAAAGTAACGGTACGTTTGTATTTGTACGATATCTTTATGCGATATTAATGAACATTATTCTAATTAGAAAGTTTAGCTCCTTGTTGATCTAAAATTTAATTTGTCAAAATTTTAATTTTTATGTGGTACAAAATTTTTAACTATAGTCGTAGGTACAGAAAGGAAGGAGAGGAAGAAAAAAAAAAAAGAAAACACTGTAATAAACACAAATCCAATTAGTCAATCTTCAAAGACAATCTTTGAACGGAGCATATGTTGTAACCATACACTTATAAATATAGAACTAGCCACGTTCTACTGAAATTCAAGAGTATCTGTTTAGACTGGTCAGAGAATGTAACTCGCTGAATACTGCAATAATTCATGCGGATCCCGAATAGAACGAACATCGACGAGACAAAGGGAATTAGGTTAATATTCGTACGACTACCAATCGGTTATTTAGTATTCCCCGAGGAAAATATTGTCGAGGAAA